TTTAAGGTCATAGTAACCTTGACTTCTGACCTTGTGACCTCAAAATCAATAGGGGTCTTCTTCGTATATTTTGTAGAAATAATGTGTCTTTAATATGCAATATACTAAAAGACAAAATAGTACAGTTTGATTGTAAACTGAAACGGTCTTTCCTAAGGTTTCCAGACGTCTTTCTAATGGCGGAAGAATATCACTCGATTGTAATATAACCGCTTGTCAAGCAAACACTGACTGAAGTACTTTTTGACATATTTGACATATCGTGTCTCACCATTCTCTCAATAATGGACAAAAGATATGTCGACATGCATTGAAACCAAATGTTGTGTAAAAGCTAAAATATCGTCTGCTTACAATGTAGCGTTATGAATTTATTTTAGATTAAGGAAAAAATGCATGAAAAGTGCGATTTGTATTACGTCCTTGTATATGTTTAAGGATATTTTTTACAGTAAATCATAGGAAGGGCACATTACAGGGTGAATGTTATCGACAATGCAAATGTAAATACATTTTTTAATCGACAAAAAAAGAACTGCATGAGTTGCTTACAATCAAGGAACTAAATTATGGTCTGATAGCAGTTTTTTTTCAATTATACTTCATATCTACTAAACATGAATATATCTGCATACATGCACATTATTTTTGCAAGACGAAGACAGAGGTTTTCAACAAGCGTGCAATTTTCCACGAATAAGGTGTGATTTTACTTTTTTTTCAGTTTATCAATTGCATTGTTATTATATGTTTAAGATTATGCAATGCTGTTTTAGCATTAAGAGTGAACGATGACTGCCTTGTACGAGACTTCTCTTCGCTTGGTTTCTTTACATAAAGGATGTTTTGATATTGTTAATAGATTGCATTTTACTGTTTGATACATGATTAGTCTGTGGCTGGTAAATATATTTCATGCAGGCCTTTTCTTTTTTCAGTCGCTGCTAGTTGTAAGTCTGCAAATTATTTTGGACTACCGTATTTTCCATATTATATAACCCAACAGACTAACTTTCAAACCTTGACAAGTATTCAGTTATATATATTCATATATATTCAGAGATCGATTGATTTGCAACATACTGAATTTCTCATGGTTTAGATAAAAATTTGATATCAAATTACAGAATTGTACATGGATTGAAATTGTGTTGAATTTACATGGAATTTGATTTACACTGAATAATACATGGAATCTGAACTGCACTGAATTTCACATGGAATATGAAGCACACTGAATCCCACACGGAATTTGAATCGCACTGAATATCTCATGGAATATGAAGCACAATGAATTTCACATGGAAAATGACTATGGCACTTAGCATTTGAATTGTGCTGAATTTCTCAAGGCATTTGAATAACCGATTCCGAACTGGCGGACGAAATGCTATTGTTATCAGTTAAGTTTCAAGTAAAGTTAACCAGTTACATATCTGTCAGTATAAATTGTATGTAAAATGGTGTGACAGGTTGTAGTTTTAACAGTTAGTTTTAGTACCTTCGTTGTCAAAAGGGGGAGAATACTCTGACTACATATGCTTTACAATTCCCGGGCTTACCGCATACAGCAATTTTAGTACTTTGATCGATTTTTGTGTGGACATTAAAATATAACTTTATAAAATGCTTATTCACAACTGTACAACCACATTGGATTTTGAATATAACTTTCATTAATCATTTTACTATACAATCAATACCACAATCCGTAGGTTAGATGACCTCTTAAGAAACTAACTCTTAATGAATTTATTTTGCTTTCTTTGGCATTCTTGTAGAAAACTCAATTGCTCAATTTCCTCAGTATTAATCAGGTATCATTTCTGTTATTACCTGGTAAATGCAATTCAAATCCATCAGTCTTCATTAAATCGTCCGCATTTTTTTTTGAAAATCACTTATAATCACACTTTTAAATGCTTTGTTTGCTACTTGTTAGAGAAAACAGATTCTGTTGGGAGTTTGCGATAGTTCTTTATCAATATGCATGTACACAATGTATGGCACTGGTCACTGTATTGCGAAAGGTACCTCCAAGTGTTTTCACACCTAATCCAAACAGTTGACGATGTGAAATTCGAATTTGCATTATATCTCGAGAATGTGATATTTTGACTTTTCTCAGAGCCGGTTCTGACGTGACGTCACTAGGTTGTTTTTTTAAGTTTGACCTCATGACTATGATATGAACAACCTTGTCTGATAATTTTAGAGGAGAAAATATTTTACATATACATAATTTTAAAAGAAATAGCTGACCCAAAGGAATGGGACAAAGTTGTAACATAGGCCTCAAATTAAAAAATAAACTACATATGTACCATGCCAAATATCTTAGCTGTTGCATTCGGATTCTTTTAAGATTGCATTTTTTTAAATTCTGTTTTTAGCCTCTATGACCCAGATATGTAATGGACCGGAACCATTTAAAGAAAATTTTGGTTAAGCTTTATGCATGAACCATGTCTGTCTGCCAAGTCATAATAAATTGAAAAAGAGAGGGAATCCCTATTGTGAAGTTTTTACAATAACCCGATTTACGGCATTGAGCGTCTTTATATGTCTTAAAATATAGTTCTATATTGTTAATCTGGTACTGGTTGGTTTTCCTTTTATGACATGACAGGACAGGACATTTTTTTGAGATTTGGGTACGTACTAGTATATCTTATGGGCGGTTTTCGAAAGAGTTGTAAAATAGATTTTTTTCTGTTAAGTAACATACATGAAAACTGTGTTTAAATAGAATAAAATGTTCCGGAAAAAATATATAATGGTGCCAGCTTATGTAGGGTGCTAATCATTAATTTGCGCATGTCATCAATAACGCAAAAGGATATATAACCCAAAATATTTCTTTCATTTAAGCTATCTTTTATCATTATTTTCAAAGTTCAAACAGACAATTTGTAAATTTACAGGACTCTTTTACCCCAATTTTATAACAATTTTGTCGACGGTTGTCTCCTTTTCTGGATAACTAAACAATTTTAACAACAGATATCCCTACTAGTCTTACACGTTTTCAGAATCAGCGGTGACAGGATCAATGTCGTGTATCAATTGTAACAGAAGAATTTTGTCTCACTCAAGGATTGAACCAGAGAACATTTTGATTAAATTGCCATTGGCTCTTAGGCTTATTGGATTACGACTCTGATGCTATACCTTTGTAGACGGACAAATGATAGTGTCCACATGTACGTAGTAATAGAATAAACCAAAACGCACATTATATCTAGAACTTTATTGATTAAATAATAATATAATAATACCGCAAACACTTCCTTCAAACATGGGACCCATAAAGGCATAAACAATATGAGCCGAGCCATGACAAAACCAACATAATGCGTTTGTCTGATCAGGATGCTGTTTGCTTACAAACCCTATTACAAGTAGAGAAACTGATAGCGAACAGCACGGATCCTGATCAGACTGCGCGGATGCACAGGCTTGTCTGGATCCATGCTGGTCGCAAATGCATTATGTTGGTTTTGTCATACCGCGACTCACATATATCTAATTCAAAATAAACAATGTACAAATAAAGTATATATCTTTTAAAAAGCGTGCTTTTTAAATCGGATTTTACTATAAATATGAGTCTGACTGCATGTTGAATTTCAATCATCATTGTCAATGAATATATATCGAACCATTTAATTTGATTATCTGTAAATCAAGCTTTTCAGAACAAAAATAACGCTACTTGATCCATTAATGATTAAGAAATGCATATTGCAAGGATGATTTAGCGGAAAGACGCCAGTGGTTTGAATATATCGGTATCAAATTAGTGCCGCCATGTCAGTATTACGTCATTTAAGTGACGCTACGTCATAATATCCGCACTAATAATTTATACTTATACTTATTAAGGAATTATAAGAAAATAAATTAATAATCCGTAAAAGTTATAAGTGTATAAATACCGACCTATAATACAAAATTGGCGACTTTCCTCAACATATATCGTTCTTGCTAAGACAGACCAAAGAATAACAAAAATAAGATTGGAAAAGTGTAAAGGTAATCATTTTCACACGCCGTCGGTTGTTTTCAATGTAATATTATCAGTAAGATTTGTCTAACATTATAAAACGTAAATAAATGAAAAATCATTACCGGTTTACAACCTTAAATGCTTCATGGGTGTATTGTTTACTATTATATCTATGAATTTAGTTATTTTAGGTCGACATTTACTTTATATATTGGATAAAAACTTGTCAACAACTCCCAGCATTAAATTACTATTTGTTTATAATTATGCTAAGTTTCTCAGCAATACCATTTCCGTCTGTGTATGTTCGAGGTGCTTATCCGAAGACTGACGGAAAGGGCCGAAAAGTTGCGATTGGTATTTCAATATCTGTTGACAATCTTTATATCTACAACGTCTGATTTTGGTTCCAAAAAAATGAAACTGGGACAAGTCCATTTAAGAAATTCTGCAGGTCGATGGTTAATGAACTATATTTAGTGCAGAAAAGTAAGATTCCGGTTTATCATTAAACTTTTGCAGATTGCTCTATATCATTTTAACAGTTTAAGTCTTCAATTTAAGTTTAAAAATGTATATTATCGAGCAAAATAGAAATGGTTGTATGATTGCAGGAAATTGACGCAGATTCAAAAGAAATCAATAGACTTATGTGCAAAGAGTTTAGGATATTAAATTTACTACCCGCCGCTGGCAGTGACTACAGTCAAAAAAGTTCATAAAACAATACTTAAATTCCTTATGTACAGTTTAAAATTGTTATCCAAAAGAGAAAAACAATATAATCTTACTTTATATACATTCAATTTGATATCTAAAATCGACATCTTGTTAACCGAATTGTCATTTACCCGTATATACAAATGTTTACAACGAATATTTCTAAAGAAAATATTTAAAACAGTTTTACAAATTTAAAGCATAATAAAATAAAGAAATAAAAGACTTCAAGAGAGAAAATTGTTCATCAATGTTTTCATCCTCGTAACGTTTACGGATCTGAAAAAGTAAGAAAAAAGTTATTACAGATTTTTGTTAGATAAGAGCTATTGCTAACTTTTTTATTTTTTTATCATAGATGTGTATATTCTGAAGTTTTTAGTATTTGGTTTTCAAAACACGAATCATTAACCACGTCATTTAATTACTATATGGTTGATTAGCAACTTGATTTACTACAAAGTACCATAAGCCTACCTTGCACAATGTTATTAGATTTACCGAAAAAAAAACAACAAACAAACAAGATAAATACGATAAGATCAGTGACATATCTTTTTGAAAATAACTTACTGCAAATTGAGAACAATATGTCATCGACCAAATTTTTCAATGTATCGAATGTTGCTGTAGTGTATACATAGTCGGTACCAGATGATATGGAAAGTAGTTCGTTGTAATTGTAATTTCCTATACCAATAGCATAAATCTGCAACAAAAAATAATACATGTGTATGTACTGTTTGTGGATTAAGACATTATTTCTGAACAATAATCGGCCAAAGATGTTTAAGAGTCCCCTCCTTCAGAACGAGTGCCCTTGTTCTTGTTTGGTACTGACAATGACCATACTGGTTATTGTACAAATTCCAAGCTTTATGTCTATCGTTAGATTGTATTTGAGCCGCGTCACGACAAAACCAACATAATGGGTTTTCGATTGCGACCAGCATGAATCCAGACCAGCCTGCGCATCCGCACAGTCTGATCAGGATCCATGCTGATCGCTATCAGTTTCTCTACTTGTTATACGGTTGATGGATCCTGATCAGACCGCGCAGGCTGGATGGATCCATGCTGGTCACAAACCCATTAAGTTGTTTTTTACGTGACGCGGCTAATTTTACATTCCTTGCAATGATGGTTGATGACACTCCAAAGCATCGTTTTGTTGTTGTTGTTGTTGTTGTTTAAATTTTAGATATACAGACATTGAAGAAAACTGACGTTTTATACATAAATGAATGATATAAATACATAAACATTGTGAAATTGAATGAACGACCATCTTAGAACTTCAAAAGATGGAAAAGGTTGTTTACTTGGCAGTTTGCACAACCTACATGTATTGTGAAACAAAAGTAAAATTGATAAAAGATAAATTGCAACGAACCATGTTATATGTGACAGTTTGTTGTAGTATGAACAGAGAATATTTTTAAAGACACATAGTGCGTTAGAAATAAATACATGTTCCGTTCTGAAAGGGGAAAACGTGTTTTACAACACTGTAATAATTGATTAAAACCATGTGAGATCCTGACCACCTGATTAAAATATAACTAAATGCGAAACAATTTGACAAAAGTGTAGCAAAGTGTTAATCATGTCATGGAGTTTAATAGTGTATGTATATCTGTAATTAAGTGGTGTACTGTTTTAATTGTCAAAATGAAAAGAAACAAAAGATAGATTTGTTGTGTGGCTTGGAAAATAAAAACAAGGGTAGGTGAAGTGCAAAATAGATTTGGTATGGGTTTGTGTTAGACACACAAAGTGGAAACGGAGGCAAAATTGATTAGATAGGATGAAATTATGTTTTCTATTGGAACATCACGTGATGCAAAGGCTAAAAATTCATTAATTACATTTCACAATGGGTGAAATATTTAGATTTTTGTAGGTATCCCTACTTAACACGAAATTTTCATGATGAATTGTCACTTTGAAAAAAAATATATGAACCGCGTCACGACAAAACAAATGTAATGCGTTTGCGACCAGCATGATTCCAGACCAGCCTGCGCTCCCGCGCAGTCTGATCAGGATCCATGCTGTTCGCTATCAGTTTCTCTACTTGTTATAGGGTTTGTAAGCGAACAGCATGGATCCTGATCAGAATGCGCGGATGAGCAGGCTGGTCTGGATCCATTCTGGTCGCAAACTTATTACGTTGATTTTGTCGTGACGTGACTCATACACATTTAATATAATTACCTTGGTATCTGGAATACTTTTTAAGTTAGCGATACTAGTTGGCAAATGGGTAGTATCGTAAGGTGAAGTTGTTACTCCGTCAGTAAGAACAAGTACAATATTTGGGATATTTGGCCTGTTACCGGTGTGCGTCAGTATATCAAAGGCTACATCAAGGCCAAGGTCAGTTCTCGTTGTCCCTGATGAATATCTGAAATAATAATAATTTTATCATCGCATCATTAATCTTGTACTGTTTTATAACATATAATAATTGACAATTTTAATACATTAAGTATTTGCATAAAACTGTAAAATTAATACTGTAAAAAACGCATATATCAATATCTTGCAACTGTTCCAAAAGAACAGAATAGTGAATATTTTACGACTCGTGAACTAAACAGTTTCTAGTGTTTAACATAAATGTAATTACACAAATAAAATGAAAATCAATTGAGCCGCGTCATGACAAAACCAACATAATGGGCTTGCGACCAGCATGGATCCAGACCATCCTGCACATCCGCGCAGTCTGATCAGGATCAACAAAGTCTATAACAAAAAGAGAAACTGATAGCGAAAATCAATGGATTGACACCGAAAACAGGGCGTTCTTGATAATATAGGAAAATATTTGAACTGTCAATTATATTATCTTTCCATTTACATTAAAATACATTGTTTTATGATACACTGGTTAATAGTCTCTCCTTTATTACATCAATTTGATAACTTATAATCTGCGTCGATTAAGTAAATTTCAGCCTTTATTTGTCATAAAGCGATGAACATTATTACCTCGAGAAAATAATGTCATATGCTAGCAAATGAATATCCACTTACAGAAGTTACTTGCTGTAATATGCAATTGGCGTTATGTCTTAAAAAGGGAGTGCGCTGCTCAACTTAAGATACATATAGTATTGTATGCATGTAACTGACAGACAAAACAGATCAAGCACACGTGCATGAATATAGAAAAATGAAGTTTTTCATGTTCATTTCTCTATTTATAGTGCAATTTTGTCGTACTAAATCATCACTTCTTGTATTGTAACTGCATGTTGCTAAAAAGCTTTTTTCGATGCACATACCGCATTAATAACTTTTCTATCTTTAGAAAATATTAGAAATGATAGTTTAACATGTCAATTCCGACTAAAAGGACGCAAAGAGAAGAGGAATTGATAAAAGATTGAACTTGATTTTCTGTCAGAATATTAGCCACTTTCATGGTATTTCTGCCATCGACGGCAGCATTTATAATATGTATCTGCCTACAAAGGCAGCATTTTTTCTTCGACCGGACAAAATTGAGCGTCTGTAAAACTTTCAAGAAAAGACTCACGGGGTAGATATTTGGCTTGCGTGACCCCAATGGATGAACGTCTATATTGATAACAGGAAATCCTGCCATTTACTTAAAACTTGAGATATTTTGAACAGAAAACAGACATTTTCACGGATTTTCTGAGGCTGTCACTTTTAACCTGCTCAAAATAGTCTTAAAACAGGAAAAAACGAGTCCAAAATTACCTTACAGTATCTCCATTCAATGGACAATAGTTTTATAGCAATGAAATGGGCCGTATTTGTGTAATATAATTAAACTAACCAAATTAAAAACCTACCTGTATCGATCGGTAATTTTCAGATATCTGCCATCACTGCAGTGATCTGCCACCACTGCCGCCGGTAATACGGTGTAATGATGTATGATACAAATTCTAGACTTAATTTGAACATTAAACATTCGTTTGTTTAGTTTTTGTACATAAACGTTGCTTCATAAGATTTTTAGAGTTATTCATGAACTTTATAATACGTGTGTGTGTGGTGTATGTCTATGTGTTTTTATAGTGTATGTGTTGCAGCTTATGCGCTATCTGATTTGTATTGAATCAAGTTTTCACTAGTGTGTTAGTCAAATGGAGCCAGTAAAGATATATGAATGGAAAAACTTATATTAATAACCTTTTTGAAATTAGGCCATGTATGATAAGGGGTCACCAAGGTCAAGCACTAACTGAGCTCTTTGTATATTTACATTCAGTGAACTTAAACATCTTTGTTTTGTATAACTGTCACACTAAAAACCATGTACTTACACCAAATTAGTTATCTCCAGGGAGACTTCAAAGTTGTTATCAAACATGTCGAGGTAAAAATATGAATTAATGCCATATGAATAGTCCACGTGGCCGATTCTTGTTTCATCCTGAGATACATTAAACGCATTAATCAGTGTCAGTACAAACGCTTTAATTTTCTGGTAGTTTGCTGTCTTTACTGAGCCAGATGCATCAGTAACAAAAACAATGTCGGACGAAAAATCCGTACAGTCTGAAAGAAAAGAATTTCAGATTTTTATTCAAATGCTAATACTCATAAAATATACAGTAATCTATTTAATATAATATGAATTTAGGTTCTACCAATGACGCCAAAAAACTCAATTACAACCATGATAGAACTTTCAATATATAAACCAAACCTTTCTTGGACTTCGTAAATAATAAGTAAACATGAGTAAATACATGTATGTTATTCCGAATGAACTGGTGGTGTTCGACCTATCATCAAAATGTTCCGAAAGTCACCGAATACATCGTCCGCCATTTTGTTAATCTTTATTTTGGTTGCAAATTAAACTTGATAATACAACAACACTGGGGTATTTTTGTTATACCATTAAGAAATTTGAGCCACATCACGACAATACCAACAGAGTGCGTTCGCTACCAGCATGGAATAAGACTAGCCTGCGCATCCGTGCAGTCTGATCAGGATCCATGCTGTTCGCTTACAAACCCTATAACAAGTAGAAAAACTGATAGCGAACAACATGGATCCTGATCAGACTGCGCGGATGCGCAGGCTGGTCTGGATCTATGCTGGTCGCAAACCTAATATGTTGGTTTTGTCGTGACACGGCTCATATATTTTATACGTACCGAAGCAACAATTATTGTCGTCATTTTCTTGACAGACGTAGCATATGCAATAATCAGACATACATTGACCGTCAAATGTACAAGAATCACCAAGCGCAAATTCTGTAAAACAATAGTAAATAAATTACAAGAAACTGAAGGATAAATTACTATCATTATAAAAACGTTTAGAAGATACGATTGGCTTCAGAATTTATGACTTAGTTGTAGCATGTCATTTGACACACGACATCTGCTTCCGCTAAATGAAATATTGTTACTATCATTGCAATAATGTGAACACCAAAATTATGGTATAATCATTTCACATCACATGTGAAAGAAAAATAGTTGTTACATTCATTTCTTCTATAGTGCTTGTTTAGTTTATTTTTTTTTAATACATAAAGTTTTTTGTCACTTCGGAAAATGTAACATCATTTTGAGAAAAGTATACGGCTGGTCTTAAATTAATAAATAACCTATCTCGGTCATCTAAATGTGGACATAGTTGACAAGTTGTATCTTACCAAATGGAACATGATATTCAAACTAAATAGTACAAAAATATAAACCCTCTCCCATGTTTTAAACGCTTCTCTTTTATATTTCTAAAGAATTATAAGCATGACAGCAAAGGCCAACAAGGCAATGCGAAGTTCCATACAACCCAGTCATATCGACAGGGCATACAATGGCAGACAAAAGGCTGATATTTTCCTCAAAGTTTATTTTCGATATTTATCATTTCCAAAGTATCTTAATATCGTACTCTCACACAGTATATATTTTACCATGCAAAAGAATTATAGTATGTATGCAAATTTTGTTCAAGATTTGTTCAAGATTTGCATTCTCGAATTAACATTTTTCTAAGTTTTTTATTTATTTTATTTTATTATTGATTTCTTTTAACTTCATAAGTATATAGATATTATATATACACGAAATAAAATAAAATAAAATAAATGCAACAAGATTTGATGTACATGTATTATACTTACTAGGACTACAAACTCCACACGTTGTGTTGAGGTAATAGCTATCGTTACACTGACATATAGACTCCCCATTAACCTCTACACATATCTGGTTTGGGTCAAGACAATCAGAATCGACCACACATTCTCCGCATGTTAGGGAATCTAGATTTTTGTATCAAACACAAGATCATGTGATTATTTCTAATGGTTTCGTATGGTGATGCATTTCTTCAAGCTGTTGAAAACCTAATTGTGACTATCTAGTTAGTTGTCATGTAAATAAGATATACAGATTTTCTTTTGATTCTCTTGACAAATTTTCAGTTAAATCGCAAAGAAGTGTACTTCCCAAAAGCACTTAAAGGAGCCCAAACCTGGCAACACCAACCAACGATATATGAGCCGTGTCACGACAAAACTAACATAGTGGGTTTGCGACCAGCATGGATCCAGACCAGCCTGCGCATCCGCGCAATCTGATCAGGATCCATGCTGTTCGCTATCAGTTTCTCTACTTGTAATAGAGTTGGTAAGCGAACAGCATGGATCCTGATCAGACTGCGCGGATGCGGAGGCTGGTCTGGATCCATGCTGGTCGCAAACGCACTATGTTGGTTTTGTCGTGACGCTGCTCATATCTCAGTGGAGTACTGAGGAATCAATTTTTGTCGGTTTGTAATCAAACAATCAAACGGCTTTACCTTATTATTATTTATTTGTATATTCCTTTTTAATCATCCAGGCATAAGATTAGATTTTACGATTTTAAAAACTTTTTCGTCACATATCCAGAAGATGTTATAACTTTAAAAATTACACAATCTGCTATAATTTATAATGTATAGATTGTGCATAAAAGCATAAAAATAAAAATAATATCTAATTTAAAAAAATTAAATTGATGTCATGTATGCGTTGCAAAATGTGTGACCTTACCATTGATGTTAAGTGTTTCTATAACTTAGGTAAAATGTATTTATGTTAGCATTTACATCAAATTCGGTCATTCTGGTCGGCTTATTTGACTTTATATACATCTAAACTTTACTTGTATCAGTATAAGATATCTTTCGTTTGTAAAGAAAGACCATTAAAATGCTATCACCTCTTGAAAATAAATATACTCGTACAATTGATTTGACAACAATGAATGAAATCATTTTGGAAAATATCTTACAACATTCGTTGCCGACTTGAACTTCACTCCCAGGGCACTCACATCGGAATGTTGATCCGCACACTAAACCATTGACCTGACAGGAGTCAGGTGAGGTATCACAAGGTGCATCTAGTACCGCACCAACTATGAAAACATTTGACCAAATCATCAGCATAGTAAAACGTATTTTCTTTCGTAGTAACAGTTACAAGACATAAAAAGCACCAAAATACAAAAATAAGAAAAATATATTTTTTAGTCTTATTTAAAGATCCTGTATTTTGTGATAAAAGGGGTAAACCACACTAAGTGAAATTATATACTGTATATGTACATAATTATGCGAATAAAACATTTTTCAAACATCGAATGATATGTAAAATATGTACTGCAAATATTTGTGCATATTATATGTAATCATTAAAATATATGCATTCATTTCATATTGTAAAATTTGACTTAAACATTATAGAAAATAGATTTTTATTACCTCACTTTATTTACATGAAAGGTTAAATTCGTAATATCTTTATAAATAATGCTTTTTGGATCCTGCAATATTGATAATTCTTAATTTGAGCATCATAAAAAATTGTGTTACAGGATCTTTAAACATTTCTGATTGTCTAAAATAAATGATAGGCAATTGTCATTAGTACCCGTGTTTATGGCAAACAATCTTTCAAGTAATCTTATTAACGATAATTAAATGAGTTACAAATAGGAAATGACCTCTACCGGGAATTGCATTTTGTCCATGAAATAAAATTAACAATAAGTAAAATGAATATAAAAGTTTGTTTTAATTGATACACTAAGTTATTAATTATAAAACATAGTTTTATGCGGATAGACATTAGGTGGTGGTCGAAATAGTTCAAAAGCATATAAGCTATGCGACAAACTCTATCTGAGAAGATTGTAGAACCTACTCGTATTCAAGTAAACGCGAAGCTACTCTTACATCTAACATGTATAAAGCTAAATTTCAAATTTCTTCTATAAGGTTTAAAAGATGTGAAAGAAAATCACTAATAATCGGCAAGCAGTAATCGGAATTCAAGGTGCAATGTAGAAGACATTTCAAAATATTTCATATACAGTAGAATTCCTACTTAAGACCAACTCAGATTTAAGACCACACCGTTATCAAGACCACTTTTTTAAAGAACGGAATTTTCTGTTCTTTAAGTCAATAGTTACATACTCCAGAATTAAGACCACCTCATTTATCCACTTTTAAGTCCACCAGATTCAGTCCCAATTCATTGATTTATTCTTTATTTGAACTCATGAAATAATTAACTGGGAAAAGTCTTTATTTTTATAACCATAAGAATAGATTTTTAATATCAAAATTATCTTATTATCGTCTGTTGCGAATCTAAAATAATAAAAGTCAATGCCACATGGTTTTCGTTCTTTCCGGAATATTTATAAAATTATATCCTTCACTGATTATTTGAAATATCTTTTATATGGCATAATGAAAAAGAATCAGTAAGTACTGACAGAATGCATTCTGTTATTGTTCTATTAAAGCTTAAAAACAATCATTAAAAGACATTGACAATCTTATTTTCAGGTTTGTCACAAATACGCCGGAATTTTCTAAATGACAGAAAATAACACAGAAAACTAGAAAATGGCCATTTGAATTTATAATAGGCAATTTCAGTGTGTATGGGTGTTTATAGAATATTAAAATTTGATTTAGTTACTATATAGCTATTTATCATGGCATAAGAGAAAATCTAGATCTAATTAATATATTCACTTTGAAATTTCGCTGTTTCACTACGAAGCGAGAATTAATCTCAATCTTTGTTTTTGTATTTTTTTCTATTCTCTTGATATTGAATTTATGTATGCCTGCGTAAATTTTTACATGTTATAATCATAATTGAACGATCAGTATTTACGCATTTAATTTTTCAATAAGCTAACTTTCTATGCGGCATGCATAGTTTTATCCCCCATTTACGTCACATCCGGTAAGGGAAGAAACTCTTCACTGACTGTTATCGCTTAAATGAAAGGGTCTATTGAGACCACTGATTTTAAAGTCAACACCTCCCAGGATCACATATATTTTATCGTGTTATTATGAATGTTTTACTAGTCTCTTATAATTCAATGATTGAATGGTCATGTACTTTTTTTGTGTTTTATGTTTGCTTATGAATTTTATTTGTGTATGTACATGAATGAGACTTAAATAAATAAATAAATAAATATTTGTTATCATTTTTTGCTTGAATGACACTTGATTTAACAGGGTGTCAAAACTGTCATTATAAGGTTATATTATGAAATAAGGTGTGAAGTAACAATTACTGTGGCTCTATTCAGCACATTTATTTTGTAAAGAATTAATGTCTTATATGATAGGTGAAATATGTACTGAATTATATAATAATTAATATTGAAATCAGACCAAAGAGAATTTAATATAAAATTTCTTCAGAAAAAATGTTTTGCTCTCATCTGATGAAATATTATAACATATGTTTTACTTGTAGGTTAAAGCAGCATGCCTCCAGATTCATGCTAATTTTCATGAAAATTTTGAAAATGTATTTGAAAGTAAAATTAAAACCAAAGAGAATTAAATATAAAATTTCTTCGGAAAAAATGTTTTGCTCTCATCTGATGAAATATTATAACATATGTTTTACTTGTAGGTTAAAGCAGCATGCCTCCAAATTTATGCTAATTTTCATAAAAATTTTAAAAATGTATTTGAAAGTAAAATTGAAACCAAATAGGATTTAATATTAAACTTCTTCGGAAAAAATGTTTTGCTCTCATCTGATGAAATATTATAACATATGTTTTACTTGTAGGTTAAAGCAGCATGCCTCCAGATTCATGCTAATTTTCATGAAAATTTTAAAAATGTATTTGAAAGTAAAATACTGTGAGTGAACAAGGAAAGTACAGTAATTTACATATTGCAAACGGCACTTACAATCACGTAAATTAGCAAAAAGAGGTCATAATATACAAAAATACCTCTTACTGCCTAACTAACGCAGTAGAATTATAGTGATTGATCTGCAAAATCATTCATTAATCGCACATAACATGTTAATAATTATTTAAATATTGAATATTTTTACTTTTCTTAAGATCTTAATACATTTTGCTAAAGATTAAATTCCTTGAAATATTTTGGCTAATCTGGACGCATGCAGCTTTAAGATACATATTGTCTATTCATTCAACATGACTAAAATAGACCATGGTCATCAAGTATGAAAGCAATGATAAGAATATTCACAATTATTAAGACCACATCGCAATTAAGACCACTTTGGTCCTGTCCCGATGGTGGTCTTAATTGATGGTTTTTACAATACTAAACTTTTCATTGCAGAAATGTTGTATTTTAATGTAATGAATAATCATCAGCTTGAGATAGAGTAAATAAAATAATAGAAAAAAACGGTCAACACTGCAAAATTAAAATGAGCCGTGTCATGACAAAACCAACATCATGGGTTTGCGAACAGCATGGATCCAGACCAGCCTGCGCATCCGCGCAGTCTGATCAGGATCCATGTTGTTCGCTTACAGACCCTATAACAAGTAAAGAAACTGATAGCGAACAGCATGGATCCTGATCAGGCTGCGCGGATGCGCAGGCTGGTCTGGATCCATGCTGGTCGCAAACGCACTATGTTGGTTTTGTCGTGACACGGCTCAAATTGTTGCCAGCTTGGCATTACGACTGTAGTGTTACCATGCCACCAAGCAACGCCTGAAGAAAAACTTAACTTTTAAACATGGAAATGGTCATTTTTTTGATTTACAAATATCACTTATGTGTTCACACGGCAATTATCATTGAACTTTCAATGTGACATGTTCATGCGATTCAATGAAAAGCGACGTATGGCCCCGAGTAAATTACAGACATTCAGTTAATTGTCAAGTAAGCGACAATCAAACGGCATTCATACGACCGAAACAAAATGCCTACATCACACATAAAATGAAAAACTGACTTCCGTTCCAAAAATAATCATCATCACAACAGCACACTGTTCCGTTGCAAGATGCATGACAATCTCAGATATCAAGAATCATATAAGAAACAACTGGACATAATTCATAATAAATTTATCTTTCGAATCAACAACTTGATGCTATGTTTGAAATGAATATCAAAATACCGCAGTGAGTTCCGTTCCAAGAATAACCATCATCACAATCGCACACTGTTCCGTTGCAAGATGCATGACAATCTATGCATGTATCCGCTGCATTTGTGCACTTGTCTGTAACTCTTGTTCCATCTAAAATATGTGAAGTTTTAGTTGAGTACATAACTTATTCTTACAAAGATTAATGTTACGATCAATATTTAAAAAACACTAGCCCATTCAGTCTTTAAAGCGAAAACAGTGCTAAGAAGCAAATATGTTTATTCAATGTTTACATATTTTAATGATTGAATTATAACTGCTGTGTGGCCTGAAAACTGCATGCTTCCAGGTGAACTAATCAATTCATATAACCCATATTAAGGAAAATGTACCAAGAGTTTAAGAAAATTAGAATATTCAAACTCTAGTAATAGTTTACGTGCTATATGCAAGGAATAATTGTAATTATTACCTATTAAGCATTTTAACCATTGTTCGGTAATTTATATGGATCGAAAGTGCCTTATTCAATGTGTAAAATCACTTTTTTTGTTCACTTGACAATATTTTACTTTTTAATACATTTAAAAAATATATAAAAATAACACTGAATCTGGATGCATACTACAGGTACAATTTACACAATGTGATAGTTTAAGAATACTTACAGCACTCTCCATCGTACTGTATAGGAAGTGCAGGTGGACATTCACATCTTCCGGAATCAGCGCCACAAACTAAGTCGCCTTCACATGAGTCAGGAGAATAACCACAATCGTCACATAATGCTGATCCAACTATTAAAACGAAGCTTACAATTATTAATCAAGTACGATAAAAATAATATGTATTGTGTTACATGATCAAGGAACAGTTATCAGTGTTTTTCTCTCACTTGTCATAATATGAACAGTCATATAAGAAACAATTGAACAGGATTCTTAATATTTTTATTTTTATAATACATCAATTTGACACTACATGTATGTTTGAAATGAATATCAAAATACCGCAGTGAGTTCCGTTCCAAGAATAACCATCATCACAATCGCAAATTGTTCCGTTGCAAGATGCATGACAATCTATGCATGTATCCGCTGCATTTGTGCATCTGTCTGTGACTCTTGTTCCATCTGAAATATGTGAAGATTTAGTTGAGTACACAACTTATTCTTACAAAGATTAATGTTAAGATCAATATTTTAAGAAAAACACAAGCCAATTCAGTCTTTAAAACAAAAACAGTGCTAATAAGCAAATATGAAGCAAATATGTTCATTCAATGTTTACATATTGTTCTGATTTAAGTATAATTGCTGTGTGGTCTGAAAACTGCATGCTTCTAGATGAACTAATCAATTCATAAAACCTTCATTAAGAAAAATGTACCAAAAAAAAAAAAAAAAAAAAAAAAAAAAAAAAAAAAAAAAAAAAAAAAAAAAAAAAAAAAAAACAAAAAAAAAAAAAAAAAAAAAAAAAAAAAAAAAAAAAAAAAAAAATGCAGTTTAAGAAATTTAAAATATTCAAACTCTAGTAATAGTTTAAGTGCTATATGCAAGGAATAATTGTTTTATTACCTGAATTAATCATTTAAACCATTGTTCGGTAATTTATGTGGATCGGAAAGTGCCTTATTCAATGTGTAAAATTTCACTTTTTTTGTTTCACTTGAGAATATTTTACTTTTTGATACATTTAAAAAATTCTATAAAAATAACACTGAAATCTGGAGGCATAACTACAGGGTACAATTTACCACAATGTGATAGTTTAAGAAAACTTACAGGTAAAAAAAAAAAAAAAAAAAAACTCTCCATCGTACTGTATAGGAAGTGCAGGGTGGACATTCAATCATCTTCCAAGACTCAGCGCCACAAACTAAGTCGTCGTCCTGGAGTTCAGAAAAAAAAAAAAAAAAAAAAAAAAAAACATGAGGTCAGGAGAATAACCAAAATCGTCACATAATGCTGACCCAACTATTAAAACGAAGCTTACATTTATTGATCACGTATGATAAAATAATATAAATCGTGTTACATAATAAAGGAACAGTTATCAGTCTTTTTCTCTCACTCGTAATAATATGAACAGTCATATAAGAAACAACTGGACAGGATTCATTAAAAAAATTATCTTAATAATACATCCACTTGATACTATGTTTGAAATGAATATCAAAATACCGCAGTGAGTTCCGTTCCAAGAATAACCATCATCACAATCGCACACTGTTCCGTTGCAAGATGCATGACAATCTATGCATGTATCCGCTGCATTTGTGCATCTGTCTGTAACTCTTGTTCCATCTAAAATATGTGAAGTTTTAGTTAAGTACATAACTTATTCTTACAAAGATTAATGTTACGTTCAATATTTAAAAAAAACACTAGCCCATTCGGTCTTTAAAGCTAAAACAGTGCTAAGAAACAAATATGTTTATTCAATGTTTACCTATTTTAATGATTCAATTATAACTGCTGTGTGGCCTGAAAACTGCATGCTTCTAGATGAACTAATCAATTCATAAAACCTTCATTAAGAAAAATGTACCAAGAGTTTAAGAAAATTAAAATATTCAAACTCTAGTAATAGTTTACGTGCTATATGCAAGGAATAATTGTTTTATTACCTATTAATCATTTTAACCATTGTTCGGTAATTTATGTGGATCGAAAGTGCCTTATTCAATGTGTAAAATCACTTTTTTTTGTTCACTTGACAATATTTTACTTTTTAATACATTTAAAAAATATATGAAAATTACACTGAATCTGGATGCATACTACAGGTACAATTTACACAATGTGATAGTTTTAAGAATACTTACAGCACTCTCCATCGTACTGTATAGGAAGTGCAGGTGGACATTCACATCTTCCGGAATCAGCGCCACAAACTAAAGTCGCCTTCACATGAGTCAGGAGAAATAACCACAATCGTCACATAATGCTGATCCAACTATTAAAACGAAAAGCTTAACAATTATTAATCAAGTACGATAAAATAAATATGTATTGTGTTACATGATCAAGGAACAGTTATCAGTGTTTTTCTCTCACTTGTCATAATATGAACAGTCATATAAAGAAACAATTGAACAGGATTCTTAATATTTTTATTTTTATAATACATCAATTTGACACTACATGTATGTTTGAAATGAATATCAAAATACCCGCAGTGAGTTCCGTTCCAGAATAACCATCATGCCCCACACAATCGCAATTTTTCCCGTTGAAAGATGCATAAATCTTGAAATGTATCCGCTGCTTTTTGTGCCACCCTGTCTGTGACTCTTGTTCCATTTGAAAAAATGTAAAAGTTTTTAAGTTGAGTACATCAACTTATTCTTACAAAAATTAAGTAAGAAACAAAATTTAAAAAAACATAGCCCAAAAGTTTTAAAAAAAACAGTTTTAAAAACCAAAAAATGAAGCAAAAAGTTCATTAAGTTTACATATTGGGTTTTGGGTTTAAGTATAATTTGTGTGGGCCCCCAAACTGCCCTGCTTCTAGATTAACTAAAAATTCTAAAACCCCTTTAAATTTAAAAAAAAGTTAAACCCAAAAGTTTGAAAAAAATTTTTCAAAAATCTAAAAATAGTTTTTCGTGCTATATGCAAGGAATAAATTTTTTTAATTTCCTATTAATCAAATTTTAAAATTTGGGTTTGGTAATTTTAAAGTTTGGGGAAATGCCCCTTTTTCAAAAGTGTTTTAAAAAATTTTTTTTTTCCAAATTTAAAAAAATATTTTTCTTTTTGGGTACCCTTTAAAAAAAATTTTATAAAAATAACAAATGAGTTGGGGGGCATACTAAGGGGAAATTTTCACAAATTTATAGTTAAAAATATTACAGATTCCATCGTAAATGTAAAGGAAATGAGGTGGACAATTTTACATCTTCCAAAACCAGCGCCCCAAAAAAAAAAATGGGTCAATGGTCAGGAGAAAAACCCCAAATTTTGTCACATAAATGCTACCCAAAATATTTTTAAAAGAAGTTACTTTTTTATCAAGGGATGATAAAAAAATATAAATGGTTACTAAAAAAAGGAACAGTTTTCATCTTTTTCTCTCAAATTGGGGAATAAAATAAAAAGTCAAAATAAAAAAACTGGACGGGTTTAAATTAAAAAAAAATTTTTTAAAAAAGAATCCAAATTGAAAACTTTTGTTGAAATGAATATTTAAAAAGAGTGGGGTTCCGTTCCCAAAAATAAATCATACAATCGACACCCGTTCCGTTGCAAAGATGCCCTGAAATTATGCATGTATCCGCTGATTTTGGGGCACTTGTTTTGTCTTTGTTCCCCTCTAAAAAAATGTTTAAGGGTTTTGTTGAGTACATAATTAAATTTTTTAAAAAAAGATTTTAAAGTTAAAGATCAATATTTAAAAACATAGATTCATTTTTTAAAACGAAAAAGTGCTAAAAGAAAATATGTTTATTAATGTTTTCATATTTTAAATGAAATTTAAATTTTGGGCCCGAAAATGCAAAGCTTCCAGGGGAAATAATTCCAAATTATTAACCCCTATTTTAAAGGGAAAATTTCCCAAAGAAATTTAAGAAAAATTTGAAAAATTTAAAATCTAGAATGGGTTTTCATGTTATTTTTGTAAGGGGAAAACTGGGTTTTTCCCAAAAAAAATTTTTTACCCATTTAAACATTTAGCCCTTGTTTGGGAAATTTAAAATTTGGGTTGAAATGGCTTATTCCAAAATTTTAAAATCACTTTTTTTGTTTATTGACCAAAATTTACTTTTTTAATACCCTTTTAAAAATTATATGAAAATTAAAATGAATCTTTGGGTGAAAACTAAGGTACAATTTACAAAAAGTGGGTAGGTTTTAAAAATATTTTAAACACTCCTCCATTTGATTTTATAGGAAGTGCAGGTGGACATTCACATTTCCCGGGAAACCGCCAAAAAACTAAGTCGCCTTACATGAAATCAGGGGAAAAAAACCCCAATCGTCACAAATGCTGATCCAACTATTTAAAAAAAGTTAAAAATTTTTTAACAATAAGATAAAATAAAAATGTATTGTTTAAATGATAAAAACAGGTTTTCAAAATGTTTTTCTTCAAATTTTTCAAATATGAAAGTCAATAGAAAACAATTGAAAACAGGATTCTTAAAAATTTTTATTTTTTTAATAATAATTTGAAACTACCAAAAGTATGGTTTTTTAAATGAATATTTAAAAAAACCGCAGTGAGGGTTTCCCTTTTAAAAATTAAACCAAACATCAAATCGCAAAATTTTTCCCCTTTCAAAGATGCAGACAATCCCTTTTTGCCCCTTGGGGAAACCGGGTGGGATTTTTTGCCCTGTCTTATTTGTTCCCTCTGAAATTGAAGTTTAGTTTAGTAAAAACAAATTTTCTTAAAAAGATTAAAGTTTTTTGATAAAAATTTTAAAAAAAAACAAAAAGCCCCCTTTATTTTTTAAAAAAAACAGGGGCTAATAAAACAAATATAAGGGAAATATTTTATTTCCAAAATTTTAAAAATTGGGTTTTGATTTTTTGTATTTAAGGTGTGGGGGTTCCCGAAAAATGCAAAGCCCCTTTTAGATAAAAAATCAAATTAAAAAAAAACCCTTTATTTTAAAAAAAATGTACCAAGATTTAAAAAAATTTAAAAAATTTTAAAATCTAGTAAAATTTTTCGTGCTTTTATGGGAAGGAAAAAAATTGTTTTTTTTTACCCAATTTTAAACATTTTAAAAACCAAATTTTTGGTAATTTTAATGGGATTGAAAAGTGCCTTTTTAATGTTTTAAAATATTTTTTGTTCATTAGGGAAAATTTTTCTTTTTGATACATTTAAAAATTTATAAAAAAAAACACTGGAAACTGGAGGCATCTTTCGGGGAAATTTACACAATGTGATAGTTTAAAAATACTTAAAAGCCTCTCCAAAGTACTGTATAGGAAGTGAGGTGGACATTCACATTTTCCGGGTCAGGGGCCCAAACTAAAATCGGCCTTTACATGAGTCAGGAAATAACCCCAAAAACGCACATAATGCTGACCCAAAAATATTAAAAAGAAGTTTCAATTTAAATTATAAGGTTTTGATAAAATAATATTAAAAGTGTTTCATAAAAAAGGAAAAAAGTTTTCAATTTTTTTTCTTTACTTGTAATTTTAAAATGAAAGTCATATAAAAAAAAATTGGGCAGGATTCTTAAAAATTTTTTTTTTATAATCATCCAATTTTTTAATTGTTTGAAATGAAAATCAAAAAAACCGCAGTGAGTTTTTTTTCCAAGAAAAACCATCATCCCAAACGAAAATTTTTCCGGGTTTCCAAAAATGATTTTTCAATAAAAGGATGTTATGCGGGGGTTTTGGGGCCTTTCGTAATTTTCCATCAAAAAGTTTAAATTTTTTTGGCAATTATTCTTAAAAAAATTAAAGTTACAAAAATATTTAAAAAAAGAAAAAACCCCTTCAATTTTTAAAAAAAAAAGGGCTAAAAGCAAAAATATTTTTTTATTAAAAGTTTTCATTTTTAAAAATAAATTTGGAAAAACCCCCTTGGGATAATATAAATTTTAAAAAACCCCCATTAAGAAAAAGAAAAATTTAAAGGAAAAAAAAAATATTAAACCCAGTAAAAAATTTAAAAGTTTTTATTAAAAGGGAAAATGTTTTAAAAATATTTATTAAAAATTTTTTGTTTTAATTTATTTGATGAAAAATGCCCTTTTTAAAGTGAAGTAATTTTTTTTTTTTATTGAATTTTATTTTTTTTTAAAATTTAAAAAAATTTTAAAAAATGAATCTTGGAAAAGCATATTCGGTAAATTTTCAAAAGTTAGTTTAAAAAATAACTTTCGCTCTCCATCCCTACTGTATAGGAAGTGAGGTTGGGAAATTTACATCTTCCCAAAAAAGGGCCACAAAAATAAAACGCCCTTTCCCCTGAGTCCGGAAAAAAATAACCCCAATTTGGTTTACTAAATGCTTTACCCCAAATAAAATTTAAAAAAAACTTACAATTTTTTAATCGTACAAAAAAATAAATTTTGTATTTTGTTAAAAATGAAAGGAAAAAGTTAAACAGTTTTTTCCCCTCACTTTATAAATGAAAGTCAAATAAGAAAAAATTTAAAAGGATTTTTAATATTTTTATCTTTATAATACATCAACTTGATACTATGTTTGAAATGAATATCAAAATACCGCAGTGAGTTCCGTTCCAAGAATAACAATCAACACAATATTGGTTATCAATTGAATTTCATATCCCTTCCGGAACAATAGTTCACTTAATGTTATTCGCAAATGTGAAACACCTTCAATATTTATTTTTCAAGTATAAATACGGCCTTATCAATGAAACACATGGTATTGTACTTGATGCCACGAGATACAGGTGAAACACGGATTCTCGAAACCACATTGTCCATTTAAAAACATGTTGCCAGCCAAATCTGACAAAATATAAAACAAATAAAGTTTTACGACATACATGTATGTTTTTGAGCGGGTGCGTTTCACGTGAATTTACTTGTCAGCAATTTACAATATTAAAAAAGATAAGGAGATCGACAAAGTTATGTGTGAATGAAACACTTTTTTGGGGGAAATTGGGATGGCAGAGCATACATTTCCATAACTAACGTCATGCGCGTGACGAATCTTCCTGGAATTATGTGCACTGATGCAAGCATTTGTATCACACACAACGTAATCATATTTTCATGAGGTATAAAGACTAGAAAGTTGGCTCTCAATGAAAATGCTTACAGGTTATTATGATACTGCGATTAGTCTCGTCCTATTATAACAACGATCAAAACCAAACGCCATATTTGAACATGACTTAGAAATCAGCAAAACAACCTTCCTGAGCGATTTGTAGGATATTTGTATTAAAACAGTAG